TCCACCCATATAACATTTTGTAAGCGGAAAAATCACTAATAGTCCACATCAACACCGCTCCCAAGTTGAAGTTTTGCCTTGTTGAGACGTCATATGCATCAACATCTTGTTCCCACAACATGAATAATTCATCAATCAAAGGTTGGAAGAAGATGTCAAAACTCTTTTCCGGATGATTCGGTTCCGGGAGTAATATCGTCAAGAATAAAAACACTCTTTTCAAATACATATCTGGTGGTAGATTATACGACGATAACACAATTGGCCATCACGAATACTGTTTCCCAGATTGACCATATGGTGTAAATCCATCGGTGCATAAAATACAGATGAACATTTCTAACATCACAAGCAAAATTAGGATGTAGATGAACAAAATACTTCCATACTTCACCATATGATGGATGAAACATGTATTCTGAATCCGAAACTTGTTCTCCGTGCCAACGCATCTGAGATGTTGTTTTGTGAGATTCGTATAATCTCTTCAATCTGTCCGCTACAGGCAAATAAAACATTCGTTTATACGGTACCCTTTTACGTTGCACTTTTTTCCTGGGTTTGAATCGATCAGCTCCACAAACAATTAGATAACTCTTTATCATCTCTAGACCAAAAAATCATGTAGTTGTTCTGGCAAACATCAATTTTGATAGCCCTCATGCCTAATGATCCCATGAGTTTTTAGACATATTGTAGAAAGAATCAGAAGCATAGTTACCTCCAAGAAGATAATTAGTCCTCATCTGGCATACTTCGTCCATATAATTCTCTATCATATTGTAACTCGACTTCATGCCCATCATTTGTGCAGAAAGAAATAATTGGATGCGCAAATTTTCCATAGATGCATCGATTATCTCGTATATTCATCATCTAGAGTGATAAATATCACTTCCACTTGATGTCATATTGTATGTGAGATTCTAAAGTTTTTCGAGAAGTGAGGAGGAAGAGAGAGGAGAAAGAATTATATAGGATTAACTTGCAGCGCAATTTCGTTGCAACCATAAAAATTTTTGCAACGAAATTGCGTTACAAAATAAATATCTGGTTAATAAACTGCGTCATATGGCAACACAATTTTGTTGTAAAACTGTTATGTTTGCAACACAATTTCGTTGGAAAAATAAATTAGCAATACAATTTCGTTACCATTATAAAGTAAAAATCTGACAACGCTAAAATTTTGTTGCTACTTGTAGTTAGCAACGAAATAATCATTGTTACGTAGCAACGAAATATATATCATCGCAATTCATTGCAAAACGTTTAAATTTACAACGAAATTTTCATTGTAAGTAGCAACAAAATTATTGCGTTCAAATACGTTGCAAAATATTTACTTTTCATTGCAACAACATTGCAAATTTTCTATGCATTGCTAAGCGTTGTAAACTAACAACGAAATTGTGTTGCTAGTTTACAACGAAATATTTCGTTGCTAAGCGTTGCTACTGCGTTACTAAAACATTGTTAATTCGTTGGTAAGTTATTTCATTGCAAAGCGTTGCGATTTCGTTGCTAACTTTGTAACAAAATTTATTTCGTTGCAAATTGCGTTGCAAAAACGCTGTTTTTTTTGTAGCGTCTATGCTATCCAACATGAGGAGTGACGTGGTTTAACTGTATCAAACGCCTTTCGTAACATGATGATTATAACAACGTTTTCCCTCGTGAGAGTAGGATTGTGAAAATGTTTGGCAACACTGTAGATGATGATTGTCATCTATTACTTACAATCTACCTGTAATACCCCGAAACCCGTTATCAATATTTAATTATTTTGGAGAAATAATTAAATAGATAGATCACGAAATTACCCAAAGAGGGATAACCCCGTACCGAAAAAAGGGACGAGGATCGTCACGTGAGGAGAGACGGAGAACACGGAAGAAGAAAAAAAAATATAGGCTTAAGCTTGGTCGGGGTCGGACCAAAATCAGGTCCGCCGGACCAATAAGTGGTCAGCTCCGGACCAATTCAGTCAGCCAGACTCCGCTTGGGTCGACGGACCAAGTGAAAGAAAGAGAGAAAGGACTTGGTCAGCCGGACCAAGATTGGTTAGGAGCTGACCAGGGTAACGCAGTCGGACCAGTCGGGGACGGATAGACCAAAAAACGCGGAGGAGTAGACTTGGACAGTCCCTGTCTGGCGGACCAGAATCTTGGTCCGGTGGACCGGAGAAAAACAGTTTCCCCCAGCTATGTCGGCTGCAACTTGGATCCGATTTTTCCGGGGAAAAACGGCCCCCACGCGTTAAAAACTTGACGAGCCGCCATTCTTAGGAGTCCCACCTAGCCCCTAGAGCTGTCTCCTTGCTCGGAAGCTTCCCAAACGCTCACAAATACCTCTCCCAAACACCACACTTGAGCAATTTCGGACAAAACAGAGGAAAGAGGAGAAAGAGAGAGAAAGGGAGAGAAAAAAGGAGAAAGGGACAGAAAGGAGCTCGGGGAGATCAAGAGGGACGTGCCCAGACGTGCACTGGAGCTTCTCACATCAAGAGGAGCCACAAGAAGCTCACAAAAACTTGGACAAAGCTCACCAAAGCTCAAGAACAAGGTGAGTGGCTTGAGTTACTTATGTGTACTCTCGTTTTCATCGTGTGATTTTTTACTTGGGCTTGAAAGAGGACATTTCAATGAGAATTTAGAAACAAACGGTAATCAATTTGGTTGAGAAACGAGAGAGATATGAGCGAATGAAAACTGAGAAAAAACTGGAATTTGCAGAGTCGCAGAGCTGAAGAAACAATTAAACGAGTTAGTGGAACAGGGGTTTATACGTCCCAACGTTTCACCGTGGGGTGCGCCAGTACTCTTTGTGAAGAAGAAGGATGGGAGTATGCGCCTGTGCATCGACTACCGAGGGCTCAACCTGTTGGTTTAGTGCTCTATGATTTACTGTTATGCGAGCTTTATTACGATACATTTGATGTATTGACACTTTCTATGATTTTATGGATGAGTGTTTGATTCATTACGTATTGTGCATGCTTTAATATGTTATGAAATCCATGTGTTGTTATGAACAATACTAAACTCCCTAGTCATATGTCGTTATGGGAATAATGATATACTAAGACTAGTTTGATGTGTGATTGATGATCATATAGATGATCATAAGTATTGGATACGATCACAATCATAGGTATTCGTTGGAGAACGGAATACTGGATTGACCCGCATGAAATTGTCACATGGACTAGCTTCATGACTTGAATCTCATATGGCTGTTCCATGATTGGATCCTAAGACCTAAGATATCTACGGAATCCAACATGAGGAGTTGCGTGCTTTGAATACGTCAAACGCCCTGCGTAACAGGAGGACTATAAAGGCGTGTATCAGGTATGAAACGAACCATGTGCTGGATTGTAGATAGTCAATGTAATACCCCGATTCCCGAATAAATTATTTAAATTAACTTCAGGAATAAAATAGGGTAAGACAAGTCTAAAATATAAGGTGATGTTGGGATTCCTGGGACCTCATGAGCGAATCTAATTACTAAGAGATCGATTCTAGGGTTTGCACTTTGCGCAGCGGAAGTAAAACAAAAATTTATAGAACCCTAGAACCATACTGCTATTGAATCGTAGAAACGTTAGAACGCTTACCTCAATCGATCCGGGGCCTGTATCAATAAGTATGTCGAACGAACGTGAAAAAGGTAAAAGTGCATAAAAAGAAAGGAACTAAACCGAAATGAATACGAAGGATAAATTTAAGAGAAGTACTCGGAAATTGCGATATAGAAATAACGGATAAATAATTATGATGATGCATGTGATTGAATGACTAAGGAACCCCGTACTTAGTACCGGTCGACGGCGTGAGTCAGTGCTAGTCATTTTTCGATATGGATATGGAACCACACTGAAAAGTGTTTTTCGATAGTCATTTTAAAAGAAAACTATTTTACAAAATGTCGTACGTAATGACGTTCTACTCGTCGTCGTTTGCTAAGTACAACTACGTGATGCAGTGTCGACAGTTCACGACGCACTCGGTCAATCACGGGAGACAACAACGTACCCAACCATGACCCCCGTACTGATGGGTTCAAGGAGTTCCAAGAAGAGATGAGGAACGAGCTGAGGAACGAGCTGCGTGTGTTCCAAGAGGCGATGATGCAAACGTTGCGGGCTCATATCCCGCCTCCACCACCGGCAGGGGGACCAGAACCAAGGGGGAGGACTTACCTCCACCGCCACCTGTGGACCCAATGGCAGGAGAGTATCTTCCTATCATCAGAGAATTGCGGGCCATGCATGCCCCGCTTTTCGAAGGCTCACTGAGTCCGGAAGCTGCAGAAGAGTGGTTAACTACCATTACCCGAGACTTGGAATATGTCCAATGCCCTCATCGCCACCGAGCCATGATAGCGAGCCATCACCTGGCAGGGCAAGCTCGACACTAGTGGAAGAAGGTGGTGCAGGAAATGCCCGAGGGACAGCGCTTTACCTAGGAGGAGTTCAAGGGGGAATTCGAACACAAATACTACAACCACCAGGACCAAGAACACCGCTTTACGGAATTCTTGCAGCTGCAGCAAGGGAATATGACGGTTCGCGAATACGAGGCAGAGTTCACTCGTTTGCTGACCTATGTAGGACATCTGGTACCTACGGAAGGCAAAAAGATTCAGAAGTTCATTGCCGGACTACGACTCTATCTTCGCAGAAAGATAGAACTCCACGAATACCCCACGCTCAGTCGCTACATCAGCCAGCTGGTGAAGGCAGAGCGAGGAGAAAAGGAAGAGAAGGAGCGCATCCGAGATCGGAGCCCTATCAGGCGATTCTCCAACACCTAACCTCCGGGAAAGACCAGCCAGACAGGTCAGAGCAGCCAGTCACGGGGCAAGGGGAAAGCACCTGCTGATGGTGTGCTACCGCTGCACCACCACCTTACCGAGGACCGCTGACCTGTTTTCGATGCCAACAGCCGGGACACTTTGCGGCCAATTGCACCGCACCTACAGACACATTGCCTATGGCCAGACAACCGCGACCACCACCGAGGGCTAGGGCAGCCCCGAGAGTTTATGCTCTTGAGGTTGAGACAGAGGCACAAGAGGAGGAGACCAATCCCGAGGATGACGAAGCTGCCGCTATCACAAGTACCCTTCACCTTTGTGATGTTGAGTGCTATACATTGTTTGACACTGGGGCTACTCACAGTTTCCTGAGCTTAGAAAAAGCAAAGAAACTAAATATGGAGCGAATAGATACGAAGAGCGATTTTACGGTTCGCACACCATCGGGAGAGACGCTTCCGGTACATGGGACCTTACGAGATGTATCGCTGGACATCTGTGGTCGTGACTTGGCCGCAGATCTCATAGTGGTACCGATTGGCGGTTATAGCCTCATATTGGGCATGGATTGGTTGTCGAAGCACCGAGCTCAGATTGATTGTCGGAAAAGGACCATATGATTTATGGATGCAAGCGGTGGGTTCGAATTTCGGGGAAGAGGAACACCATCGACAAACCCCATCATTTCGGCACTCAACGCCGAAAAGATGATAAAAAGGGGGAATGAAGTATTTCTGGTAGTCATCACCGCTACCAAGGAACTGGAACACAAATTAGAGGATACTCCGATTGCTCGAGAGTTTCTTGATGTCTTCCCCGATGACTTGCCGGGATTACCGCCAAACAAAGAGGTGGATTTCACCATTGATGTGCTACGGGTACTGAACCAATCACCAAGGTTCCGTACCGGATGGCACCGACAGAAATGGCAGAGTTGAAGGAACAGTTGAACGAATTGATGGAGAAGAGATTCATACGCCATAGTGTCTCACCGTGGGGAGCGCCGATGTTGTTTGTGAAGAAGAAAGATGGGAGCATGAGATTGTGCATTGACTACCGTGGACTCAACCAGGTGACTATAAAAAATCGGTACCCGTTGCCAAGAATTGATGAGTTGCTAGATCAACTTCAGGGAGCTAAATGGTTCTCAAAGATCGATCTGCATGCCATTTGGACTCACAAATGCTCCCGCAGTATTTATGCAGCTGATGAATCGCATCTTCATGGATTACCTAGATGAGTTTGTCATCATATTCATCGATGACATTCTTATCTATTCGCCGGACCCTCAGACTCATGAGGATCACTTGCGGAAAACACTGTGGAGATTAAGGGAAAACAAGTTGTATGCGAAGTTTAGCAAGTGTAGCTTCTGGTTGCAGGAGATTGGATTTCTAGGACATGTGGTATCCGCTCAGGGAATCCAAGTAGATCCGGCTAAGATCGAGGCAGTCGTAGACTGGAAGGCCCCGACCTCTGCAACC